CAAAGCCTGCTTCAGTTGCTCCAGTCCATTCAGCTAGCTCTCTTCTCTAAACTCTTATTCTACTCACCATCACTACCAACTGATTTTCTAAATCTTCCCAAAGGAGATTTTAGCAGGTTAGTCTCCAACTAAAAATCCTTCAGTAGCACCATGTTTTCAACAATGAAAACATTCTGAGCATTCAACAAGGATGATCTGCTAGGTGCCAGAGATACACAAGAAAATAAAACACAGCCATGGTCCTACACACAGTATGGACTGAGGGGCTCACCAGAATTTTCAAGTGGACCACAGAGTGAACTAGAAACAACTTCAAGGACCTCCATGATCTGTCTTCATTAATTTTACTGATTTTATTCCCCATTATTCCTTTTCCTTTGATCCAAATAAACTGGGCTACTTGCCCCTCCCCAAACACATCACTACCTTTCCCTCTCTCCACACTTTCCCACTTTGATCTCTGTCTCTGAAATGACCTCCTCACTACCTCATAACTACCTACCAAATTCAAATGCCACCTTTTTCATGAAATGTTATGCTTGCTTATAAATTTCCACTTAAGCCAGATTTCTTAAAAAAAAACAAAAACCCCCACCTAACACCAAAGGGAAACCCTGATTCTTGATCAAATCCTGATTTGAACAAACCAACTCCAGGAGCTATTTTAGAGTAAATTATGGAAATTTGAGTATGAATTGGGTACAAAATAATATTAGAGAATTATTGTTAAATTTATCAAGAATTATGTCATTGTAGTTATGTTTAAAAGTAATTATTTTTAGATATAAAACTGAATTAATTAGGGTGGAATGTTATAATGGCTGTAGCTTAAAAATGGATGAAGCAAATGTGACAAAATGTGAAAATTTGGTAGTGGGAGTATAGGTGTTTTGGGATTAGTCTTTCTGTATTTGAAATTGTTTCTAATTAAATGTAAAAGCAACAATGAATCCCAAACATTTTATGTCTAAAAGAAGAAACCATGTTCACCAAAGGAAATCGGGGGGAAAGGGAAAGTAACATGAATAAATAGTATCAATTGTCCTACCATGCAGAGATGATCATTATTTATGTTATGATGCATTTACTTCTATACAGTTACAAATACAATTATTTTTATTTTACAAAACTGATTACTCTCAACATACAGTTTTATACTGGTCTCAGATTTTAAAAGCACATAGACAAATGGTAGAAAGAAGGGCACATAAATAAAAGAGATGGATGCATTTTCTGGTATGTTACACATCAATAAAAATTTAAATACACAAAAATTTTTTAAAAAACAGTGAACAGAGGTTTGCAGACAAGCTTTCTAATTCTACTAGGCTCACATACCAGCCACTAATTCTTTTATCCTAGTTCCCTTAGATGGTACATTTCAAACCATCTCAGAATCCCTAACTTGCCTCTTTGCAGTTCCCGGCATTGATAGTTCTCACGGTGGGTTTTCCAGGCTAGCACATATTTTTTTGAGGAGCTCACCAGCTTGGTTAACTGGGATCACCGCAAAGTCGTCAGCCACCCCAGCTGGACTCTCACTGTTGCTGAACCATCTTCCCTCCAGTGTCCTACCCTGCTCTACCTCAAACTCCTCTTTCCTAGAGCCCCCGATATACTCCTCTCCTTGTTACTGTACTTTCATACACCTTCTGGCCAACGTTAGCTTTAGCCACATGACTCTGTTGTTTATTTATTTTTTATTTTTTATTTTTTTAAGGTAGGAGAGCAGGGCAGAGGCTTTTATTTAGAGATAAAGCGAGAGGACAGAGCTCCTGGCTCACGCCAGGAGGGGACAAGGGAGCCCCTCCGTTGTTTATTTTTACAGCAATATCATTCAAGTAGTTTGTTTTCATAACCACATATCATAAATAATATTAACTACAATTTTAAAGTTAAAATTTAACTTCTGTTACATCTGTCACATCATACAAATGATTTTACCTTTACATTTTCTTTGGTTTATCTCTCTTGATATTCATACACATTTCATAATGTGAATATATTGTTTAAAATTTTCCACTTATATTGTTAAAATTTTACATAATATTACATAATTGTTGTGCATTTTCTTTTAAACGGCCACATCAGATATTCCGAAGGATTAAAGTGTCTTTCGATGACCTGAAACAAATCAAAACTCCTTCCTGGTTATCTGATACTTTATCCTACAATCTGCTTTTTGCACTTCCTATATCATGGACCTTTTCCCAAGTCAATACCTATATTTTCTACATTATTTTAAATGGCTACATAGCATTCCATAATAAATATGTATTTTAAAAAATTTAATGCTTTGAACAGTTAATATAGCCCATGCCTCAAAAATCAGAAAAAAAATAAAATGACACACTGAAAATTCTTTCTTGTTACTTCTTAGTTCTCACCCTCACCCCAGGATGTAATTTCCTGTCTTAGATGCAGGCAAATACAAATGTCATTTCTTATGTTTACTTTTTGAAAAACCAGAATGTAAATATGCTCTAGACACTGTTCCTCTCTTTGCTTTTTTCACTTAATACTTTATCTTGGAGATCGTTCCAGCTCAGAGCATGGAGAGTTTCCTCATTCTTTGTCCTGCAGCTGCATGGCTTCCTACTGCATGGGTGCTGGCCTTGACTTCCACGTGACAGGCATGGTGGCCATCCCACTGACTCCTGATTCCATCTCTACCCATTCACTCCAAAACCTTCTCCCATCCACTATCCACCTCAATCCCTTTTTACTGGCTTGTTTTGCTACAAACATGTCAGTCTTTTGTATGCTAGAGGAGAACTTTCCCTTCATTCTAAGGTCCCTTGAAGCTCCCAAAACCTTCAAACTTCTAGACTTCATCCACAGTCTTCATCCACAGCTTCCCTCCTTGACCCCTTGTGATTCCCTTCCCTTCCTGTCTGTACTAAAACTGATCTCCAGACAGTCACTTAACAGAAAAATCAGCAGCTTGGTCTTTTTCTCAGTCCTCACCCCTGTCACATCTGAAAATGGGTACCCACCCTTTGCTTACCTGTTTACTCCTAACCTCTTGTAACCTTGACGGATTCTGCCCACCACATACCCTCCATACTAAAACTGATCTCCAAGTGGTCATCTACTAATGGCCAATCTTCCAGTAACCTGGCCTTGGCTCACTTCTTTGGCCCCCAGCCCTGGTGCTCCTGTCACTCCTAACCCCCACCATAGTTAGCCTTAGAGATTCTATCTTCTCAATGGCTTCACTCTTATCCTTTCCTATCAATCATGTCTAGTACCCCTAAATCAGATCCTAATTTCTGATTATCTAGACTACTAATAGTGGTCTCTAAACAAAACTTCCTTTTTGCCGTCTTGTTTCCAGTGAAAAAAAGCAAATCTCACATCAGTCCCTTCTTCAAAACTCTTATTTCCAAATCAGTTAAGCATTTACTCCCCAATCTGATACTCAAGTCCTTCCATGATTTCAACTCAGTTCGTCAGACATTGGCTTCAGCCAGCATTATCTTACACTACTATACTAAGCATACCTTGTGATCCAGCCAAACCAGCCTGCTTTTTTTTTACCACAGTGTGCATTCATGCCTCCATACTTTGGTTCACCTTTCTGTCCACCTGCATTGCCCTTTGTCTCCATCTCTGCTATTCTAAGTCTCTTCCTCCCCTAATTCACTTGCAATGATATCTTCACTAACTCTCCACCTAATGTGTTATTGTTATCTATAGTTATCATTTCCCTACTGGGTTCTAAAGTCTGTTCACACAAAATACTGCATTCAGTGTGCCCATCTATGTGCTAGCCTGTACTAAGTGATTCTCATGCGCTGTCTTGTTAATTCTCACATGAACATTGGTAGACCCAGACTCTCCCCATTTAACATTGAAGAAACTGAGGCTCAGGGGATTAATGGCTTGCTCGGGTCAAGCAGATGATGAGGGTGGAATCACCATCTTAGCCTATTCAGGCTGCTCTAAGAAAAACACCACTGAATGGGTGGCTTGTAAACAACAGAAATTTGTTGCTCAGGGTTCTGGAGGCCAGGAAGTCCAAGATTACGTCTCTGGCATATTCAGTGTCTGCTAAGAGCCTGCCTTCTGATCCTTAGGCAGCTGTCTTTTCACCTGGTCCTTACCTGGTGGAAGCAGCAAGGGAGGTCTTTGGGGTCTCTTTTATAAGGGCACTATTCCCATTGATGAGGGCTCCACTCCCATGAACTAAGCACTTCCCAAAGCACCCCCCCCCCACAGTCACTGTGGAAGTTAGAATTTCAACATGTGAATTTGGAGGTGGATACGAACATTCACTCTATAACATTCGTGTTTGTATTACCTATGGCAGCCAGCACAGTGTCCCCCACCTACACTGCACTCAACGTGTGTAAGTTGGATCAACATTTTAAAAACAGTGTGTGCATGTAGACCAAGATTCCAAGGAAATAGGGAGGTGGGCACTGAAACAGTACTGATTAAAGGTGGCAGAATTACTGGGAATGTTTCTAAATTTCCATTATTGGGATACAGAGCTTTTGAAATAAGCATTTAAAATAGTTACTAAACAGGTTGCAGCTACTCTTAAATATTTCCTAATTGCTCAGTGTAGGTTAGTTTTGTCTCCGTGATTTTATTGTCATTCCCCTCGGGGATTTTCTCTATTCTCGTGTATTCCCACAGCTTTCGGAGCATTGTTCAACACATGGTGTACGAACTTGTTGATTTTAATATATGTGTGTTTGCATATGTGCACAGCAACTGGGCAGACGACGTGGGTGTGATGAAGTGTGCATTCCTTCTCATCCTTTTTTCCTTGAGCAGCTGCAGCCTGGGTGCTTTCCTTTTCGGGGGGAGGATGCATAACCGCTGACCCTTTAGCAAGTTGTCCCTCACAGAACAGGTGTCTCCCCCGCCTCTCGGAGGAGAGGGATGGCCGGACACTTAGTGACATCAGCGACTGACCAATGAGAAGTCAGGCTACGGCAGCTCCCCCAATGGGCGGTCAGGGGCGGGACCGGTTTCCTGGGAGCCGGGCGGGCCGGGCTGGTCCTCCGGCCGCTGCGGAACCGTAGCCGCTCACGCTGCTCGCAGCAGCTCCCGCGACTCCTGGCGGCCCCGGTGGCGGCGGCGTTCCCCTGCGCGCGCTTCTCCCGGACGCACAGCTGGGGCACCTCCCGCCGCGGCGCAGCTCCCTCTCCGCTCGCGCGTCGGCGGTGGCGCGGCTCATGCCCCCCGGCTCGGAGCGCGCAGGTGGGCCTGCCGCTGCAGGGAGATAGGCCCCCGGGGCGACGGCGGCGCGACCATGGCCCGAAGACCCGGGGCGCCGGCCGCCTATGGGGAGGAGTTTTCCTTCGTCAGCCCGCTGGTGAAATACCTGCTCTTCTTCTTCAACATGCTCTTCTGGGTAAGTCTTGGGGTCGTGGGGGCACTGGGCTGTAGGGCAGCACCCGAGCGTAGAGTGGGCTGCCCGCGGCGGAGGAGAGGACGTCGAGGGATGCCCGACTCAAGGCACTGGCGAGCAGCACTGCTTAGTTTTCTGGGCTGATGACACTTTGGGGTAATTTATCCTAGGAAGGGACACACAGTGGCACCGTGCCTGGAGGGGGCTTTGGGGGCTTGGGGTGGTATGCACGGGATTCAGTAAAGAATTATGTGTGGGTATTCTCTGGTAATTGGATGAAGGTCTGTGTCAGGTCAAAAATGTGGGTTTGAGCAGGAGGGGATTTTCGTGTTTGCCCAAAGTAGACCAGTGCTACATTGATGACTGGGGAATTTTCAGGCCTGGAGGCTGGGAGGCCCTGCTGGCAAAGAAAGAGGAAGGGGCAGGAAACCTAGACCTTCCCTCCCCCTTACGTCTGAGAGGGTGGGTGAAAGGGCTTCATCTCTTCCTTTTGCAGGCCTCTCGTGCCCCTCTTCCCCCAAAGGCTGAGAAGGGACAGGAATGGCCTCCAGGATGGATGTCTTTCCAAGCACTATCCCGAACTTTGTCCCACCACTCTCAGGACCAGACTCCATCCCTAGAGCCTGACAATCTTCAGCTTCTTTGAATAGGACCCTGTGTTGTGCCAGAAGGCCAAGGGTCGTTTCAGAATCTTCTGCTTGGGGCTGGAAAAGTGGAAAAAATACTGGACTGAGGCCACCTGGATTCTCATTCCCAGTCTGCTATTAACTGGACTTGACTAACCTGGGCAATATGCTCACCTCTGTAGGCCGTAAGATTCCTCCTCCATAAAATCGAATCATGAAATGCTAGCTAAATCCTGTTTCATATCGGGAGAGACTTCCAGTTTGAGACACTAAGAAGGTCCTCCCTCCCCACCCCCGACTCCCCCATTTATCTTCCAGCCACAACCACACCAGAACTGCTGTCCTAGGAGCCCATTACCCTTTGCCTCCTCTGCCTGAGACCTGAAGTTCAGACTTGCAGGCAGGAGGAATCATGAGCCCAAAATATGTTTCCTAGGAGAGGGAGCAGGCCTGGCATCTAAGCCAGTTGCTGGAAAGGTTTCACAGGGGCCATGGTGTGAAGAACAGACACAAAGTACATAAGCACTAGCCTGTTGGGACAAATGAGAGAAATCCTGGAGGGTGGTGATGACAGCTCAGCCATTGTACTAGGAAAAATGAAGTTTAAGCTCCTAACAAATCCTCAGCTATACAACTGGAAAAATTTTAGAAGACATTTTGTCCAGCACCAGCATTTTATAGATGAGAAAGCTAAAGCACAGAGATGTTAAATGTTTTATCCAAGGTCCAACAGCTAAACCAGCTTGATGGGGTGATTTTTCTAGTGAACTACATTGCCTCCAGGGGAAGTCCCTGGCCCAGATTGCTGCTCCTACAGCTAGAATGTTAGCAGTATTAGTAATTAATCAGTCAACTCAACTTCCCATGGTCTAAGTTCTGCTTCAGCTGTAGGTTAGGGAAGAACAGAAGAAAATCCCATCACACTCTCTTAGGGTTGGGGGATGTCCTAAGGGGAATTTCCCACCTAAGGGAAAGTCCCAGTTCATCCTCCTACATGCTCACTGAATGTGCCAGCCGGTGACATGCCATCCTGGAGGACGACATGCCATCCTCAGAGCCAGCACTAGCATCCCAGTACCTCAGGTCCTCATTCTGACTTTCTCTACCCACCAAGTGTCTCCTTTGGAGCCTATGGCACCTCACCCTTATCTGTGTTCCCCAGTGTCAACAGCTGGGGCAAGGCTCTGTGTCTCCTTTGGAGCCTATGGCACCTCACCCTTATCTGTGTTCCCCAGTGTCAACAGCTGGGGCATCTGTTTCACTTGTGTTCATGCTCATTTTCTTGGACTTCCCCCACCCCGCCCTCCTTTTACCAAATGATTTTGGGAGGTTGTAGCTAGGGTGAAAGTTTGGCTCCCTAGACCCATTTACCTTGGTAAAGATGCTTCATTCAAGGTCAGAGGACCTGGCTAACCAAGCTGGTACCACCCCAAATTAGAGAAGAGCCCCTTCTTGGCCCTACTTTAGACTCATAAAAAATCAGAGGCTCTAGAAATAGCACACTGGAGGACAAGAGGCCCAGTTTCTTTCTGGCACCAACTTACAGTGTGACCCTAAGCCAATATATCTGTCTCTCTGTCCTTAATCTTTCTCCAGTAAAGGAGAAAAATGTTCTGCCTCTGTGAACTATTTAAAGATGAATGCAGCACTTTGGGGACTGTTTTCTTTCTTCAGGACCTGGGGCCAGATCTAAGGCTGCATCACTCTGTGTCCTGGTATCACTGGGACATTGACCTTCCCAGAGGACAGAATAGACTTCCCGGAGGACTGAGTGTCACTTTTCCCCCAGGCACAGAGCCACAGAGCTGTGCCCCACACAAGTACAGTTGGAGATGGAGGGCTGTCTCCCTGATAAGGGGTCATCCTTCTTCCCATCCCCCTTCAAGGACTGGTTACTGTGCTTTCCTTTTTGTAGGCTTCCACCATCCTAATCTAATTCCCCTCTTCTGCCCAGGAGGCACCCACAGATGAGACTGTCGGCCCACTCTTCTTCCAGACAGAGGGCATGTGCGGGCCGGCTTCTGGGGAGCTGTGTCTGTGTGGTGTTCGTGTCTGTGCTGGAATGCATGAGGAAGGTAGCCAGCATTGTCTGGGCTCACACTCTGGTGGCAGCGGTGTGCCTAGTTACCTCTGCTGCTGTGGCTCTAGGAGTCCTGATGCTTGGGTCTCTGGAGTCTGATTCCAGCAGAAAGCTGCTGGCTCTTTTGGGTCCAGGACCAATTCCTTCCATTCATGTTTCAAATTCTTTTCCCCTTGTGCATTGGACTTCTGATTTTCTACCCAGAATCATGCTGCTGGTTACTGATTGTTGGGATCCCAATGCCTAGAGTAGTTGCCCCCAAATCCCAAAAGTTGTATGTCAGTCTTTCAGTTAAGAAGTAGCTAATTTTCCTGATGTCTCTGTGTTGAACAGCTCTGTGCAGAGGGAAGACAGTGGGGTGGTACATGCTTTAACAGCCTCGGCATACATTGGGAGGAACATTATCAGGGCTGTCCACACCAGCCACATCCTTCCTTGCTGACCCTTTTCCCACTCAGGGCAGAAGTTGGGGTGGCTTTTGAGTAAGGCTGAACCTAGAAGCTCAGACCTCCAGCCCCTGTGTCTCAACCCAGCTTTCCTTGGTGGCCATGCCTCTGGGCTCCTGTGGTACCTTGTACACATCTTGTTTGTCACACCCCTTACCTGTGCTGCAATTATGCATTTATTTATGTCTCCCCCTCCAGACTTCAGACTCGTGAGCATAGAGACTGCCTTGTTCACTTCTGGATTCTCAGTGTCCCCCTGTGTTTGGCAGAGATAAGGAACTTGTTGACTGTTCAGTCAGTGAGTGGCAAATGATGGAGCAGACCTTGCAGGGTGGAGGCAGGCTGCCTTTCCTCTCTCAGAGACACCAGTTGGTCAAGATACAGCACAACCTTAAGTCCTCAAGCATTCCTGGTGGAGGAGAGGGGAATTCAGCCGTGTTCTCCTCTGCAGTGTGTCCTGTGGCCTGGCACCCCTCCCTCAAGCCAGGCCAGAAAAAATGGCAGTCATCCCCTCCAGCGTCTCTCTCTCTCAGGGCCACACATAAATACTATCTACAGAACCCCGAATTTTTCACTTTCACTGCAGGACATGTGGACCCCCATCCAGGTCTCCCCTAGGCAGGTCCAGGTCTCCAGTGAGGTATCTTCCTCAATAAATTCACTCTCCCCAGGGCACTCAGAATGCCTCTGACCACCTGCAGCTTCACCTGTTGTAACCTGGCTCAGAAGCCAAGGGAAACTAATCAGGTATCAAGCCTCCTGAGTGTCAGGGTCCCTTTCTACCACCCAACACCCATCCCCGCCAAACACACACCTAAATACACTAGAGACAGGCCATTTCCTCCCTCACCTGCCTCCCTTCCTCATGGACTAGGCAGGCTTCTGTAAGCCAAGTAGTCATATTCTTTTTATAAAGACAAAAAACAGCAAAAAGTCATCAAAAAGGAAGACAAGAACCATTTCCATTGCTGTCACATCACATGCATGCCTTCTTAGCTTCCCTAATAGCTCTGTTTTACCAAGTAGAAAATCATAGGTTTCAAGCAGCCTTTAAAAAGAATAAAAGAATACATGTAGTATCAAAACATTCGATAGCAGACTATGTGTCAGGCTGGTAACTCCAGGGCCATTAGTTTGAGTGTTTCTACTATGAGCCCTCATGGACTTTCCTTCCTCATGTATAGTTTTGGAAGTCCCAAACAAGCCATGGCCTAAGGAAGAAGCTAAAGAATGGGCCCCAGACATTGGAGGTGAAGTGTCCTGTGGACTCCTCCACTCCAGCAGGACCGTTCGATCCAATGCAGAGGGAGAAAGCCAACAGCCAGTTTAATTGCGACCTCAGACCCCAGGAATAATGGGGCCAGGATCACAGGAGGACCAGTGTGTGCAGATCCTGGACAGTGGGAAAGAGAGCCCTGTTTTAGGTCTAGCAGGCTGTGATTTCTTTGACTTCATCCAGAAATAAGGATAAAAAGGACCAAGAAACTAGCAGTGCAGACCCCTCCCTCCCAGCGTCCTTCTGGGTAGGTACAGGGTTTTGATCCCACATAGGGAATCACTCTACTCTCAGCCATCCCTGACCACCACTTTTAAAAGAAGAGGGAAAGAGATTCTAAACAAGAGGAGAGGACTCTGAGACAGATCCTCCCACTTGGCGCAGACTGGACTTTAGCATATGGAAGGCAGTCAAGGCCAGGGCTTTCTCCCTGCACTGATACCTCATCTTCCCCTTTCAGGCGCTGTTCCAGGGACTTCCCGCTAGGCTCTGCTGGCACCAGCACCTCATGGTGCCATCTTACTGCCCCCTACCTGAGCCTCACCCAGTTTAGAGATTACCAGCTGCTCCCCCAACTGCAGGCAGCTTCTTCCCACCTCACGATGCCCCGAGGTAACTCCAGAATGCGTGTGTCCTGGCCTTGCTGTGAGCCAGAGAGGAAAGCAGCCATGTGGCCAAAGTCACAAAACTCTGGAGATGCAGGACCTGGGTTCCAGTCTAGCTTCAGTTGCTCACTTACGGGAGCAGGGAAGTTACTTGAATTCTCCCAACATCGCTCTGTAGCATGGGGATACTAACACCCTTGTGGGGGGCTGTGGTCAGAATTCAGTGAAATAGTGTGTATGAAGTATTTAGCCCAGTGCTTCGCCCTCAGCACTCAATAGCTATTACTATACTTAGAAATAGCTCCTACAGGCCATCGGTTGGGGTCGGACTTGCAGAGCTAGGATGAGTGCTCCTCCTGACAAGTAGATGGGGATTGAGTCTAGGTAATAGCCAACCTTGAGCCTGACTTCCTGCTGCCTTGAACCACCCTTGCTCCTGTCCCTACTGTTAGCCTGAGGGAGATGATAATTAATGTGCTTTTGTATTTTATAGTTTACAGAGACCCCACTGTTGTCTCCAGGGGCCTTCCTTAGGTCCATTCCTCAGGGCTTGTCACACCACTTGGTCTTAAGGTGCACTCCAGTGGAAATGGACTCCAGGAAGCTA